CTGCAAGATTTCTTCGGGGCTTCAGCCATTTCTGCCTTTCCTGGAGCAAAGGCAAATATTCTCTGAGCCACCGCTTCCAGAATATGTTGGCGAGATATTGCACTTGGCGCCATCTGCGACGTGAATAGTTGTCGTGTTCCTCAAAGACTCCAGGTACTATTTGACTGGAGCAACAGAAGATGATTTGGCGTTATAGCCCTTAAATCATTTGGATCCTCTGACACCAGAGAAATGGGACGCCCATTAAGGATTGATTCAGCTTCACACATAAGAGTGGCTAGTGTTTCATCATCTAGATGAACTGCCTGTTCTTTAAAGAGAGAAAACAGAATCTTTCTAACAGTTTGTATTTCTCTCGCCCAAATACCACCAAAATGGGATCCTGCAGGTGGATTGAACTTCCACTCTATGTGATCTTGGTGGAGAACTTTCCCAATCTTTGTGTGATTCCATTCATCAATTTGATTTTGCAGCTCATGCTTCGCACCCATAAGATTGGTTCCATTATTCAATCTCATCGTTCTAACATTGCCTCGCCTGGCTTTAAATCTCCTGAATGCATTGATGCAGGAGTCAGTATCTAAGGAATGTGCAACTTCTAGATGAACTGCTCTACTTGTCATACAAGTGAATATTACGCCATACCTCTTTAGTATGGAGTGGCTATGTTTAATTTCCAATGGTCCGAAATAGTCAACACCTGTGTGTGTGAAAGGTGGATTGTCTGGCATTATTCGTTCATCTTTTGTTGACCAGTCTCAGCTCGGTAACGTCGACAAGTCACACACCTGGATACAAGCTTTCTCAATGCTGTGTTAGCACACAAGATCCAGTATTTTTGTCTGAGTTTGTTCAGCATGGACCTTCTACCTAAATGCCCCAACGATCTATGGATATCTTGCAAAATAAGGTTTGATACCGGAGAATCCTTTGGCAGGACCACTGGATGTTTTGTATCATCTGGTAATCTTGCACGACCTAAGCGCCCACCGACACGGATGAGACCATCTTGAAACAGTGGGTCCAGTCTGTACAAGCGACTTGCATGCTTAACTGCTTGTTGACCTGACGTCAAATCCTTGATCTCCTCAGAAAAACATTTACCCTGAACATAACCCAATATGGTACATTCTGCTTTGTGTAAGGCACCTACAGTGAGATGCATATGTTTAAGAACCTTCTTGGAATGAGTCAACACAACTGCTTTCAAAGCTTTCATTCTTTCCTCGACAATCTCCTCTATTTCATTGCAATCCATTACCGTCTTATTCACATCTTGTCTCAATTCTTTGCGCTTCTTCACCCAATGCTGGAGCTTATTCTTGGCTGTTAGGATCCAAGCCACCGCTACCTTAAGCTTCATCGAGCTTGAAAAATGAGACAAGATTCTGTCCACTCCACTATCTGTTCTGCTGACTATCACTGTGTTAACTTCTCTTTTCACCTCTGGATCATCGCACGTAATGACCATAGACACATCACATCTTGGCCATTGTGATTGAGGATTCCATAGGAACCCTGGGCCATTGAGCCATCGCTCTCTGTGTATGGTATCATCCACCCTCAAACCTCTAGATGCATAATCCGTGGGGTTGTCTTTTGTATTTACATATCTCCACTGAGATACATCCGTACCTTCTTGAATTACATTCAGGCGATTCGCAACAAATGTATGAAACCATGTGGTCTTGTTTGCACAATATCGGATGACTGTCATGCTGCCATTCCAGAAAAAGGTTTCACCAATAGTGTACTCTTCTCTTGCTTAATTAATTTATCCATGCGTACCGAGAGTGTAGCAGCAGTCAACTCCATCCTGGGAATGCTTATCTTTTTAGTGGTGCAACTCTGCTCTTCCCAACCAGAAAGACACAATGAATTAACCCTTATCGATTTACCAAGCGGAGATATGACACCATACCATAGCCTCTCTCACTGGCGTCGGAGAAATTGTGCACTTGACACGAAACCACCTTTCCAAAGTCGACTGGCTTAAAACACCTTGGTACAGATATCTTCTTCAACTGTGGAAGGTCTACTTCCCATCCATGCCATTTCTGTAGGTCCTTCTTGCTGATTTCATCATCCCAGCCGATGCCATGGTGGCACAACTCTTGCAAAAGAATCTTGCCAGGCAGAATAAAGGGAGCTGCCAACCCAATTGGATCGAAAACAGAACTGACCACTGACAAGATGTCTCTTCTAGTCGGGGGTTTGTCTTGAATATTAATCTGGAATCCAAGAGCATCTGGTTCATCCTTCCAATGCTGCGTTGAAAGATGGTCACGACTCAGGTCCAACTGTTTCACATTCTTTGCCCTGGCTTCATTAGGTACAGATTCCAAAACAGCATGACTATTACTAACCCATTTGGTCAAGTTGAAACCTCCTCGACGACATATTTCAATCAGATCCTGGACCATGGATATCACATCTGCTTCAGTCTCATATGATTTGAGACAGTCGTCTACATAGAAATTCTTGAGAACTGTGTTGACAACATCAGATTTGAACATTTCATTATTATCTATAGCAGTTCGGCGTAAAGCTGTGTTTGAGCAGCTAGGTGATGATTTGGCACCAAACAAATGAACTGCCATCCTATACACCTCTGGGTTACGACTTAAATCATCATCCGGCCACCAATAGAATCTAAGACAGTTCATATCGTCTTCTGGAACTTTCACTTGGTGAAACATCGCCTCTATATCGGCTATCACAGCCACAGGTTCTTGTCTGAATCTCGTCGAGTACGCCCAAGAGACTATTTGTCAGGTCAGGCCCTTGAAGCAACAAGTCGTTCAAAGACAAACCAAGCCATTTTGCCGAACAGTCGAAAACCACACAAATCTTGTCTGGTTTATTGGGGTGATAGACTCTGTGATGGGGTATGAACCATACTTTCCCGTCATTCCGATCAAGCATTTCAGATGGGACACGAACAGCATATTTCTTTTGGATAATATCTTCCATAAACACCTTATAATGGGAATGGACTTAAGCATCTATCATCAATCTCTTTTCGATGCCCTTTGGTCTTTGTCTAGCATATGCTTTATTATCTGGCAGCTGTACATCAGCTCTGCGAAAAGGTAAACCGATTTCATAATGACCATCCACAAATTTCACAAACTATTCACTGCAAATGCTTTGTCTTCTTGAGAACATTCTTTGGACTGCCACATGGGTCTGTAAGTATCTCTACTGGTGTGTAAGCATCTGGTACATCATTTCCTATAAGCAGTCCAATATCTGTGTTTATCTTTGGTAGATCTATATTGCACACATGTGGCCATCTTGAGATATCATCAATTGTAGCCATATGATCAAGGGAAACTGGCATTCTGTCTTTAGTGTACGCTAATGGAATCTTAACTGTATTGGTGCAGTTCAGGTCGCTGACCTCCAAACCTTTAATGATGAAAGTGTTCATTGTGTGGGGTATACCCATCGTATCTATAGTGATTTTGGCTCTATTGCCTCCTGCACCCAGTTTCCTCATCAGACTTTCGAGACAAAAAGGTACGCTGCTCCCTGGGTCCAGAAAGGCATATGTTTCTAAAGCTATAGTACCACCATTGGTTTTGACAAGTACAGGGATAATGACCATGGTACTTTTGTAATTACCAGCCCT